TGTTCGTCGCCTCCGGCGCCGGTGGTTGATGATTCCTCGAGGAAGAAGTTGAGAAGCTCGTCACTAATGGATAGGTGGGATTGTTGCTGGAATTGTTGGAGGGAGGTGAGGCGGAGGAGGGTCTCCAGGAGGGATAGAGATGTGCGGATGTTGTTGAAGTGGGGATTTGAGACGGTGGCTGTGGATATGCGCTGGGATGAAGAGGGGGTGCTGCGGCGAGATGGCGTGGTTGTGTTGTCGTGGAGAGAAAGCTTCGCCATCCTTTCGGGATCGATGGAGCCCGCTCTGGATGGTGAGGTGTGGTCCTCTTCTGCTTCTGATTCCGAGTCGGATGACTCTTCTTCGTTGTACACTTCGAATGCAATCCACTCGGGATCTAGATCTTTGGGGAGTCGCCATTCCTCTGGGATGGCGCTTTTGTGGAAACTAGGTTGTCCGGGGTGGGCATTTGCCTCGTTGAGTTGGGCATCTAGCTGGGCTTGGATCTCGTCAATTTCCTCCTCTCCCTCATCATCTTCTGGGTGATCCCCGGGAGCGAGGCCAGACACTGTCTCGTCGCGTTCAACCATACGTCGGGGTGGTATGGCGTTGATATCCCTCTTCAGGAGGAGAACGGGGTTGTTAGTCTCTCCTTCAGTGTTGATATTTAGGATCTTGCCGGTATCTGCATAGAAGATCTTGGAGATTTCGTGGATTGGAAGAATTTCGCGTAAACCTGCCGTGCTGACACCTTCGTAGCTGTGGGGTTGCGGCTCACTTTCGTCGAATGTATGGACTCTGCCATCATCCAGATCTTCGATGATTAACACTTGATAGGCAAATTCGTCGATTCTTGCCTCGGCAGGAAGCCTCAAATGCGGTGTCTCAGACTGGGGAATTGCGGCTAGGTCCATAGGTACCCTGCGGAGCTTCAAACGCGCCTTGTGCATAACTTCCTTCCAGGTTGCCTCGCGGATACCTTCTTCATCATGCGGCCGAAGGTGACTGGAAAAGAGCATGTACATAGAAAGAGTGAATGTAGGGCCAATCTGGACCGCTTGAGATGGATACATAGAGTATTGCGTATCGCCAGCAGTCAGGAAGGTGCTTGCCTGTAGCAGTCGGGATGGAGACACACTCGATGGGAGGTTTGTTGATAGCTTAGCACCCGACGTCGTGATAGCCAAGTTCATAAGCGGCACGGCATCTTCGATACGAACCAGGAGTCTTTTGATGTCCTTGATGATAAGCTTGATCTCTGCCTTGTGTTGGGAACGGTCTCTTTGGGGGTTTGCCCCTCTGAGGTACAGTTCTTCGGATGCAGCAGTCTTTGCTAGCCGCTGTCCGAGGGACTGGATATCCCAGCGAAGAGATTTTGTGAGAAACACAGCTGACTCTAGTGATGTATTACCTCTTGCAGCACTAGAAGGTGTTAAATTCCAGGTGTTATCAGGGTCAACCCCCTCACTGGCTTCACTTACATGAGTTCAATCATGTCAATGGCGGGCGAAATGACCTGTATCTTGCTTTCCAGTCGGTGCTGAAGCGTAAGTAACTCTTCCCTCTCTTCACCATCGTCAACATTCTAATGGAGTGAAGGTACATGTGGTCAGCTATGGGCTTCTGCGCAGTTCGGTAAAAGCAGACCAAGTTTGCACTTACTTTGAGTAAGCGAGACGATTGACTGATGGCATATTTGGCAGTGATCGCTATGCCTGAGCTAGCTATGGAGTTAGTCAATGCTATAATGGATGGTGTAGTAAAAGAGAGGAGCTGATCCTTACCGAATGGCATAGTTCATCGCCTGCTGCGTGAGCTAATGCACGATTAGGCTCATGACCTTACAAATAGAGCTATAAGCACGAAACATACCCTCGTGAGAAAAGCATCCATTGTGCTCAAAAGTCAGGCCTCCCTCACTCTTTCTCTCTTGGGTGAATCTGCCGAGGGAAGGGTACCCAGCAGGATGGGTATTGTTGACTGCTGGTGGGATCTAGTAATAGTAGTGATCTGTAGCGCCCCTGAGGCGGTTTGCAGAGCTTATCGATAACGGGCCACCCACTGTGGCTGCCACCAGCAACGGGGATCCCAACATATAGATAGAAAAGGGCGGAATTGAACAGACCTTCCACACTTCTCTCACAAACACGACCCGTTCAAGACCCGCGAGGTCATTGTTGGAGTCATTCTTCGCAGCGGAGGGACAGCACGAGACAAACAATGCAAAACACAACACGTGCTGGTCTTTTCTGACGCGCCAGACGCCACAGCCGCGGGGGCGGGGAGGCGCAGCTGAGTCAGCGGGTGCAAATTCAACTCAAAGGCGGACAAGAGAAAATGAGCCTCCGCAAAGAAAAACGCCCCTCACTTGCCGCTGCGTTGCTCTGCCTTTCATTGTTCGCTTCTTCTTCTACCTCCCCCCACCTTCTCCTTATTCTTCTTTTAGACCAGTCCCTTTTCTATATACCAGGGACTTTGCTTGGTGTTTGTCTTGTTGTCGTTCTCTTAGCGTCTTCCCCACATACACCATGGCCGACCAGACCCCCGATTCCTGGGAGGATGAGCTCTCCAGACAGACTGAGGGCGTCCGTCTGAACCCCAACGCACAAGGCCGCCCTCAGCCTCAGGCTCCTTCTTTCCACCCTGGTGCTGCCACTTTCACCCCCGGCGCTGCTTCCTTCGTCCCTGGGCAGGCCTATCAGCCCTACGGCGGCGGTTTCCCGCAATATGGCCAGTACGGCCAGCAGGCTTACGGTGGATACCCTTATGACCAGCAGCAGCAGGCCTATGCCCAATACGGCGCCTACGCTCAGCAACCTGGTGGCTTTAACAACAACCAGATCTACAACCAGCAATACGGTGGTTACCAGCAGCAGCAACAGCAGCCCCGTCAAGCTGCCGCCCCCGCTGCCGCCCAGCCCGCTCAGCCCGCCCCGAAGCCTGCCGCAAGCAACGCTGCTCCCCCCAAGGCCAAGGTCCTGTCTATTGGTGGCGCCAGCAACTCCCCCGCCGCTCCCAAGACCAAGGTTCTTTCCATCGGCACCCCCTCCCCCGCTCCCACCTCGAGCACGCCTTCTTCGACCTCCGGTGCCGCTACGCCTGGAGATACCAAGGGTGCTGCCGCTGTTGAGGCGGCCGCTAAGGTGACGGCTTCCAAGGCCATCGAGAAGACTGAGAAGAAGGCCGACGCGAAGGCTGCCGCCAGCGGCAAGTCGTCCCCTACCCCCTCGGGTCGCTCCAGCCCCGGAAGATCCAGCCCTGCTCGCGGCGAGGCTGCCAAGGCTGCTCGTAACGCCGACGCTGTCGCCATGGAGCAACAAGCCGATGTCGATGAGGCTACTTTGAAGGAAATCTACGGTGAGAAGAAGGAGCACGTCAACATTGTCTTCATCGGTCACGTCGATGCCGGAAAGTCTACTTTGGGTGGATCCATCCTCTACGTGACCGGCATGGTGGACGAGCGTACTTTGGAGAAGTACAAGAGAGATGCCAAGGAGGCTGGTCGTGAGACCTGGTACCTTTCTTGGGCCTTGGATTTGACCAACGAGGAACGTGCCAAGGGTAAGACTGTTGAGGTTGGTCGTGCTCACTTCCAGCTCCCCGTCAAGGGAGCCGACGGCAGCACCATCACCAGACATTTCTCCATCCTGGATGCTCCTGGTCACAAGTCTTATGTTCACCACATGATCGGTGGTGCTTCCCAGGCCGATGTTGGTGTCCTTGTCATCTCCGCGCGTAAGGGTGAATACGAAACCGGTTTCGAGAAGGGTGGTCAGACTCGTGAGCACGCCCTGCTTGCAAGAAACACCGGTGTGAAGACCCTTATCGTCGCTGTCAACAAGATGGATGACCCTACCGTTGAGTGGAGCAAGGCTCGTTTCGACGAGTGTACCGTCAAGGTGGGCAAGTACTTGGAGAACCTCGGTTACAAGAAGAGCGATCTCTTCTTCATGCCCATCTCTGCCCAGAGGACCACGGGTATCAAGGACCGCGTCCCCACGGACCTTGCTCCCTGGTATGGCGGTCCCTCCCTTTTGGAGTTCCTGTCGGAGATGAAGGTGCCCGAGCGTAAGATCAATGCACCTTTCATGATGCCCATCAGTGCCAAGTACCGTGACATGGGTACCATGGTCGAGGGTCGCATTGAGTCTGGTGTACTTAAGAAGAACGGCAGCTGCATCATGATGCCCAACCGCACCAAGGTCGAAATTGCCGCTCTCTATGGTGAGACTGAAGACGAAATCCCCACCGCTACCTGCGGTGACCAGGTCCGTCTTCGTCTCCGTGGTGTGGAAGAAGAAGATATCTTGCCCGGATTCGTGCTCTGCTCCCCCAAGCGTCTGGTGAACTGTGTCAAGACTTTCGAGGCCAAGATCAGGATTCTTGACCTGAAGAGCATTCTCACGGCTGGTTACAACTGCGTGATGCACGTGCACTCTGCTGTCGAAGAAGTTACTGTTGCAGCACTTCTGCACAAGTGCGAGCCCGGCACTGGACGTCGGAGCAAGCGCCCCCCTCCTTTCGCTAGCAAGGGTCAGACCATCATCGCTCGTCTCGAGGTGACGAGCACTGCTGGTGCCGTTTGTGTCGAGCGCTTTGAGGACTACAACCAGATGGGTCGGTTTACCCTGCGTGATCAGGTAAGCAGCCATTTCCAAAGTGCCATTATTGAACAATGCTAACATACACAAAACCAGGGTCAAACCGTTGCCATTGGTATGATTACCAAGCTCATCTCTGCCGAAGAGGTGGCGCAGGCGCAGGCGTAAAGTGTGAATGTCTTTTCATTATGAATAGCAGTCCCTACGGTGGTCGATGGCGAGATCTAACGAGCTACGACTGTCAACCGGGAAGGATGGGCGGGAAAAGGCTCGGTGATGATATCCCAATAGCAGCCTGGTTTGGTTGTTGCTGATGATGATGAATCTTGATGTTCCGTTTTATTCTTTTTTGCTCCTTTCCTATAGATTTTACATTCCCTTGCTTGTTGGTTTCGCAATAAAATTTTCATTGCTGTCATCTCACGCATTCTACTATCTTTCAGTATTTGGATAGTCAAAGGGATTCACTGCGCGCATGAATCACACAGCTGTAGCATAGGCAAACAGCCAGAATACATGAACAAGGCGTCTATTCTATGGGGAATCAACCAGCACTAGCACAACAAACAATTTTTAACAATATCAAACAAAACAATCAATACCTTAGAAAGAAAAGAAGATTACCTCCTCTTCTTCGAAACAACAGTCGTAAACCCATCCTCATCAACCTCGGGCTCAACCTTCTCCCTCGGCGCCCTCACCAACGCCGGCGCAGGCGCATCATCCATATCCATATCCCCGTCCTCATCCTCGCTATCATCGTCGTCATCATCATCCTGATCCTCACCTCTCTGGAACCCCGCAATTTCCGAAGCCCCCTTCTTACTCTGCCACTTCTCCCACATCTCCTGAATCGCCCCGAACTCTCCCTTCTCCGTCTGCCCCTTCATCTCCATAATCTGCACGGCAACCATCCCCGCGCTCTCATCATCCACCACGACGTCAAACTCATCATTCATCACTTGGATAAGCACATCCTCGAGATCCTCGGCGTCGGTCTCGGGGCGCTCCTGTATCATCTCGGAGATGGCGCCGCAGAGCCAGTCGCGCTTGTCGGAGGAGGTTGGGCCGCCCCAGTTGGATTGCACAGCAAGGGTCAGGGCCGGCCAGGCATTGATCGCGAGGGTTATGCCGAGGTCGAGGTATTGGGTTGCCGTCTGGGGGGGTTGAGTGGTCATTTTTGCGTGCGGATGGCGGGGTCGGAGGTGGGTGGTGTTTTGGTTGTAGTTGGTTTTTGAGGGGTGTTGGGAGGAATTGGTGGAGTGCGTGGGTATAGATTTGATTAGGAGTAGTATCTTGTGAAGTTTATATGTGAAGTAAGGTTATTTGTATATTTGTGGGCAGGGAAAATGATGGTGGTGCTGGTCTGCGTCCTGAAATTTTTTTTGATATGGATGGGATTTACAGTTTGGGTGGTTATCGGGGAGTTGATTAGATAGATAAGAGGTCATGTGATTGCTATGCGGGAAGTTGGATTGTTGGATTGCAAGGTACTTGGTCGTTGGGGACCTCGCAGGTTAGTTCTACGTGGGTCGGGGATGTCGATGGTGATATTGAGGACTTGGCAGATATGGAACACAATATTGGTCCTTCCTGGTGCCCGTGGGCGGTTGATATGAAGGGGGGAGATGATTTGGTATACATGGAAAGAAGGGGGGAAAAACAAAAAAAAGAAGTGATTGAGCTCCGATAGGGGGAATCGAACCCCCGGCTGCCGTGTGAGAGACGGCGATGTTAGCCACTACACCATATCGGATTCTTGTTGAAAACGATAATTATATTTGCCTATATATTCCTTGAATGAAATTCCAAAAGCATTGTGCAGTGGGCTCGATAAACTAAATGCATGAAGACGCATAGTATTGTATGTTATTGTTGAATATTGTGGAAGCAATCACATAGCACTCTAGCAACAACTAATGCATCATCTTCATACACATCCATATGTTTGAATGGGTCTGGTTCTGTAAGACTATACTAGACCCACATGTCAGGGTTTACGTTCACAGTGAATAGAGACTCTGATGGCCTAGTATTGAACATATGGGTTATTAGGCTATTTGGATTTGCATGTGCGTGCCATCGGTTACTATCATATTGGTAGTAGTATGCACGCATGTGCTCGGTTCAATGGCATGACCTAGAATGCGCGATTATCATGATCACACCTGTACCCCAACCGGAATATATATTTGGGATGGGGGGCTATTCAGGATGCAACAATCGCAGAACCCGAGAGATCGTACAGATGAATTGACACAACATCAATCATTCCCAAAATTATAGCGTTTTGCCATGTGGTATTACATTGCTAGATATCGCCACCACAAGAAAAGATGCATGCCCTGGCCTCTATTCCAAACCCATACTCAACAGTTCCGCCCAGTCCAAATCCAAAACAAACCTGCATAGTGGTATAACCTATTCTGCCTGAAAAAAACAAACTATATACAAAAGTGAAGAGAAGTCGGGCAGAACACATGAAGCAAGAAGCCAGCCGTGTTCCCCTAAACGCCACATGATCGCTCGACCCGCAAACATGGTATAATGCCAACAATAAAGAAAAAAGATCACAATGCATAGCTGAGAAGAGTTTGGGCATTGATTGCCGTGGCCACATGCCACGGTAATGTGCCTTGCTGCACAGTGCGCGTCCCCCTGGCCCTGGCCAGAGTTGCCAAATCGCGATACATACCCAGAATCTCCCGTAGGAGAGCATCATAGGAGGACGGGGAACGCCGTGCGAAGAGTATATTGACACTCATAGTATACAGGCCATCTCCATCAGTAGAGCCCTTCCTGCGAAGAAGGTACCCGCTTGCCAGTGCAGGCCGATACTCGGTCTGATGCGGAGAGCTGTTGAGACGATGCGACAACACCACCCCCCATGTCTCATCGTAGATATCCGTAAGGAGGGACTCGGATTCAACTTCCGGGAGCGCATCCGTTGGAGTGGATGCACTTGCGGGTCCACCCCAGCCACCCGGGGGTGTGGGCGCCGTACCGAATTGGTCCGGAGAAGAAACACCGCCGCCGAGGTTCGGTGTTGCAACAGGTGTAGAAGACGGCTGTTGATTGAACATGCTCAAGGGAATGGGAAGATAAGGCGGCTCAAGATGCAGGTCAGGAGGAGTATTCGCGCCCAAGATCGCGAGATCCAGCGTTGTGGACCTGGCCTTGCCGTACTGATCGGCAAAGTTTGTCCACGCTTTTCATCTGTTAGCCTCGAACCAACAAAAGATGGGGCGTGCACTTACTGTCAACCTCATCCTGGTCCACAGGGTCAGTGCTGACAATGATGATCTTCCATCGTGTCTGAATCGTATCCATGATATCCCTTGTTGCCTTCCAGATTTCACCCCGTACCTCCGGGAGAGGTCGAGCTGCAACAGAATTACGATAGCGAAGGCAATAAGACATGTTCCGCTGAAGTGCCCCAAAATTATCAGACCAAGCCACACTTAACCAACGTTGATCCAGACTTCGGGAACAAGCAATATGAAGATGCTTGCCTTCCTGGAGGGGCGACGAGCCCTCCGATGACAGTTTGAAGCCAATAGATCTAGGGATAGGCTCTGCAAGCAACACCGGCGGTGCGCAATTCACCGGGCCCACCTCAGACGATTTAGGCGGACATCGACTGTACACCTCAAGGGCCAGGTTCAGATATTCTGCCTGGGGAGGAACAACGAGAGATTCAGCCGAAGTGACAAATTCCAGGGGAATTATCTGAAGAACAAGCTCATTCAGCTGTCGTGTCTGTTGCTTGTCAGCTTCCGCGACGTATTGCTGGAAAAGAGACCAGAATGCAGCGCAGATATCCACCAATGCTGCGGCGTGAGTAAAAGGATTCACTATGTAAACTACAATGTTGCTATCCTTGCTTGGTGGAGTACTCAAAAACGCAGATCCTATCTACGTTAGTAATCAGATTGAACACCGTCGGATATGACTTACCAAGCACTCCACAAATAGACTTGAGTGACTGTATGGCCTCGGAATAACGTGAGTCTGCTGATGGACTGGTGTTCCAGGAGCCCAGTCCACGGTCGAAGACATTGGAACTTTCGCCTCGACAATGCTCGCCAAGATTGCAGCCTGAGTAGACCAGCCCAAGCCGCTCTAAGAATGTGTCGGCTGCTCCAGCAGCAAAATGAGGATGGATACAATAGGCGAGAATGTCCTTTTGCCCATGCGCAGGCTCCAACCCGAAAGTTTCCCAAAAGGATATCGCCGGAGGTAGTGTCTCCAAGAAATCTTTCCCCCGGCGCACGCGCAAGTGCGGCGGAGGTATTTTGACTATGGTGCCCTTTCCAGTCTCTCTACGTTGAGCGGACTGACGCGAGTTGGAACCGTTGTGTGACGAAGGCGAAAGCGCATTGGAATCTTGCAGCGAAACAAAACTGTTCAGGTCCAGTCGCTCCATTCCACTCATAAAGGCTGCATCACCTCGGAAAGTCTCGGGAGAGCACACCTCATCAGCATAATCAAGCAGACCTAGGGTTCCATCTATTTTATGGTGCAGGGATGATTGCGTCACTTGGTCAACCAGTAACTGGGCAATTTGAACCTGTATGTCCTTGCGAATAAGCAGTGGCGAGACCTGGTTCTGTGCCACGGAAAAATAGCCCGCCATTGACCAGTCAGAAAAGGTAGACAGAAAATTTCCTAGGAAAACCGAGTCTTCCGGTCTCTGGGCCGACGTTTCCTGGTCAGTCCGAACAATTGTCTTATCCTGGGACAAAGCCAACGAAGTTCCCGAATTGGAGCGAGTACGTTTCCTTTTTCTGGTGGAAAACGTGGCAGGTGAGAGGCCACTTTCAGAGGCACTCTCATCACTGTCGGCGCTTGCACTGCTGCTCATGTCTGAATCCGACGATGATTCTTGCATCTCCTCACTATAGGGAGATCCGTAACTGTCTGGATCCTTTGACGTGCCGCTTTTCACCTTTCCGCTGTGGCGTGGAAGCCCAACAGTTGGGATATCGCTTGTGACGGTATCTGGCCCCTTCTTTCGTTCAATCCCGCGAAAATTGAACCCAAACTTTCCATCTGCGCCGTATTTCTGGTCCCAGAGGGACATGTTTTGCTTGAAAGCAACTGCACTGTAGTAACCTGGCCCCTGCCCTTTCTTGGCAAGACGTGGGCTTTCAGGTACTGATTCCGGGAAGAGAATCTTCTTGACCTCCACTGGGCTCAACGGAGGACTTATTGTTCGTGGCTTGTCCTCCTGAGGCGTGAATACAGGTGCCTTGGCCTCCTGGGGCGTCTTTTCATGCTGCAGGTCTGCTGTTTCGACCACAGGACTCAATTGAGCACTTGCGATATTCATGGCTGGTGTCTGCTCAGGTGAATCCTGGCTGTCCACAGTTGGTTGGATCTCGGGCTCATCTGTATCCATGAACCCGGACAATTCTTGGACTGGCTCAGCCTGCTCACCAACACCTCCACGGTCGAAGTCTGGGTCGTCAAAGAAACTGAAATCAGCATCGGTTATTCCTTTAGCCCCAAAGTCTTTTTCATTAATTTCTCCGAACAGATCATCGTCGTCGTTCGTATCGTATAGGCCCGAACCAACCACAAGCCCTGCCGACGGGCCAAAACTTATAACATCCGTTCCTATTCGCTCTTTACTGAGTTGACGATGATGATTCTGCCTATCCTGTTGCATAAAATTCGAGTTCTGTTCGATTTCTTCCGCGAAGGTATCGGACGTAACCATGGGATTCAGTCCTGTTGCGGTGGCCCCATCAGGTGGCGTTGGGTATACAAGACTAGCGGTTTGAAGATCAGGATACTGCGACGCTCGAGAAAGGCTTTCGATCCCTTCGGGCAGGTTAAGTAGATCGGGTGATGATGCGTCCTGATCCCTAGTTGGCGGTTCTTGATGGACAGACGGAGGCTTAGGGCTCGCCTCGGCAAAGCTAAGTTTCTCTGTTACACGCCATTTCTCTGCGAAATCTAGAGGATCACCAGCAATAGATGAGACACCTTCCATTTCACCATAGAACTCTGAAGATGCTGATTTCGTCCTCCTGAAGCAGTAAATAGCTGGCCAAAGGATCCGCTTTAGGGGAAGCACGGAGGCACCTTCATCATTGGGCCGCCAAACTTCCCCCGCGAGTCTAGAGTAAAATGGCTCCCAAACTTCAACTTCAACCCAGGCTTCGTCATCGATGCCATCCACAGGAAGACCAAAATTGGAAAGCCACCAGAGTACGTTGACCTTCCACTGTTTGCGAGTTGCTGGACTGGACTTCTCATTCCCTGGACCTCCAACGTTAGAAGGATACGGGGATGCCGCATTCAGTCGGGACGGATTAGCGGCGACAAGTCTGGCAATCGACCCACTTGGAGATAGCCAGAGGTCAGTGCCCGGTGGGGTGTCGTGTATGCCCGCAGGGTCATCTTCCGGTATAAGTAACCGCGTCAGGCCAGCCTGCGATACAGTCTGTAGAGCTACTGTTAGCTTCCCAGCAGATGTCAGTTGAACCTGAAGCGTAGTCAAGGATGGTGCCAAAACAACGTCGTTTTTAGTTACGTGAGAGTTGTCGCAGCCATCTTTTTCAACAACGGTAAAGAGAGTACGTGAACCGAGGGGAATCGCGTTGCGTTGCCGGATTAGTTGGAGGCTAACTGCCCCACTGACGGCCGAAATGAATGATGCGTAAATGGTAGCGAAAGGTGTAATGCCATTCGGTCTCTGTGATCCCGCGGCCCCCTGCGCATTTTGTGTTTCTGTCGAGAGATTCTTGACCAATTCCAACGAAGAAACGTTGCCAGAAGAAGAGACTGCAATATGTGATTAGAAAACAACGCTAGTATATAGGGTTGAGACGCCCATCTATTGAGCGCATGCATACCTTTCAGAGTAGCCGAGCCAATGGCGAGGCGACCTGAGTCGTCTTTGCCATCATTCGGAGATAGCGGAGACAGGCTTTCAAAGCCAGGAGTAGCAGAAAAGACCCATAAGCAAAGTCGTCTGGGGTAGCTTGAAACCAAGCAATTTCGGTCTCTTAGCTGGAGCTCCAGGTCCTTGAGACGGCTGAGATGCTTAAGGATGGCGTAGCCATTAGTTGGCGACTCGCCAGGATCATCGGTGTAAATTCTCCAGTAAATATGGGAGAATCCATCCTGAGATGCTAAGTTAGAGGCTTTACCGGTATTCTGCTTGGGAGGGTAGTGGGACCTACAATGGCGCGTATGTTGGTGATGGATCCTCCGGGAAAGTCCATGATTTAGTTATAGTCCCCAAGGAGACACCGGCTGTTCTGTATTTCTAGCCAGGAAAGATAGTACAGCTGAAAGAGGATTCATTTCCAGAAAGACGCGCGAAAAGAATCATGCCTCAATAAGCCGCCCATAGTACTATTTGGAGACTTTGAGGTAATGCAACAGGTGTCAGTAGATAGATAGGCTCGGAGATGCCATCGCTGTTTTGGGGGGGGGAGAAGGGGGGAAAGCTCGCGGGTTTTAAGGAATACCGGGAGGAATGAGGTGCATTTAAGGTATCAAGCTAGGGGCGCCATAGTCCCAGCGATATGCTCCAGGCTCTGATAAACGACCGAATGGCAGCAGGGCGAGGCGAGGTAGGCGAAGAAAGGCAGAAGATGCGATGCCATCGAGACCCAACGGAGGTTGCTTCGGCCCGCGAGAGCCAATCATGCATGATCGACACCCGCAGCGTCACGTGGACCCAGCTATCGCTATCGGCGAACTTTTTTTCGTATCGCCTTTCTGTTCCCTTTGGTTCTGCTTTTGCGCTTCAAGCTGGTCATTTCCTCCTCAGCCCATAGCCATGAAGCTCTCCAACCAGTCGGAGGTCCCCGTCTATACCATCTCCGGCTCCAACACTGCGCGCCCTCTGCCGGAGTGGCTTGCGCGTCGGAGAAAGCGCAGCTTGAAAAATGATCCGGAGTATGCGAACCGCATCGAACTACTCCAGGACTTCGAGTTCGAAGAAGCGAGTCAATGCGTCCGTGTCAGTGAAGATGGCGAATGGGTCATGAGCACAGGTAACGTTCCAGCTATATCTATACCTTTATTTTCGTATTATTGACTGTTCTGTCGCGCAGGAACATACAAGCCCCAGATCCATACGCACTATCTACCGCAACTCTCCCTCTCATGGGCTCGTCATACGGTGGCTCTGAACACGACTTTCCTTCTGTTGTCCTCTGATTACTCTAAATCTCTTCACCTGCAGTCTGACCGATCTCTCGAATTCCACACTCCGCAAGGTTGCCATTACACTACGAGACTTCCCAGATACGGCCGTGACTTGGTGTATGATCGGCAATCAACCGAAGCCTTGGTTCCCTCGGTCGGTGTAAACTCGGATGGCATGGGAGAGGTTTTCCGTCTGAACCTGGAACTGGGTCGTTACATGCGCAGCTTTGAAGTCGATGTTGGTGGAGACGATTTCACTTCTAGCGGTGGTGGTTCCTTACAGGGTGGTATCAACACCGGCGCGGTCAACACCGGTGCGATTGCTGAGGAAAGCCACAACCTTCTTGCGTTCGGTACTACATTGGGTACGGTGGAGCTTTGGGATCCCAGAGCAAAGGGAAGAGCCGGAATCTTGCTGCCACCTACACAGTCTGGCCCTGATGAGCCCCGGCACGAGATCACGGCCTTGGAATTCCACCGTTCGGGCCTAACCCTCGGAACCGGTTCTTCGAACGGTCTCATTCACCTCTACGATCTTCGTTCCCCCGTACCACTACTCAAGAAGGACCAGGGATACGGCTTCCCTATCCACACGTTGAAGTTCCTGCAGCCATCAACACACACCCGCGAACAGACCCTGGAACCGAAGATTATGTCCGCAGATAAGAAGATCATCAAGATCTGGGACCCCCGTGATGGAAAGCCCTGGACTTCCGTTGAGCCAGCCGTTGACATCAACTCGGTCGCGTGGTGCAAGGATAGCGGTATGCTCTTGACTGCTAACGAAGGCCGCCAACAGCATTCGTTCTTCATCCCGCAACTGGGTCCCGCTCCCAGATGGTGTTCGTTCCTGGACAACCTCGTTGAGGAGATGGCTGAAGATCCCAACGATCCTAACGCTTTCAGCAGTGGCCAAACTGGCGCTGTTTACGATAACTTCAAGTTCTTGACGGTTCCTCAGCTGAAGACCCTGAACCTGGACCACCTGATCGGCCGAACCAGCCTCCTCCGCCCTTACATGCACGGTTACTTTGTGGCGCAGCAGCTATACGAAGAAGCCCGCCTCATCACCAACCCATACATCTGGGAAGAAGAGCGTGCCAAGCGTGTTAAGGAGAAGATCGACAAGGAGCGTGAGAGCCGTATCCGCGGCAAGAAGAAGGCCGCCGTCAAGGTCAACAAGAAACTGGCCGAGAAGCTACTCACCCTGGAAGAGAAGAACGAGCGTCGCAGAGCCCAGCGTGTTCTACAAAAGGGAGGAGATGACGACATGGTCGACGCCCCTGCACCAGCCGCAGCAGAAGCAGCACCCACCGAAGAGCCCGGCAAGAACCTCCTGGGTGACAGCCGTTTCGCCAAACTGTTCGAAGACGAAGATTTCGCCATCGACGAGAATTCCCACGAATTCAGGCTCCTCAATCCCAGCACATCCGTTGACCAGCCCTCGAGAAAAGAGCGCGGCCTGACGGCCGCCGAGCAGGAAGCGATTGACGAAGTTCCAGGCTCCAGCTCCGACGACTCCGAGTCCGAAAGCGAGCCCGAAAGATTCACCAAACCAGCATCCTCCGGCAAGATCTCCACGGCCTCCTACAAGCGCACCAACGGCCGCCAACCCCGTATGGAGGTCACTTCTTCATCCGGCGTCGGCGCTACTCGCGATCGTTCGTTCGCTTCGCGCGCCCAGAACATGCAGTCTCGCCAGAAACCCACCCGTCGCAGAGGTGTTGTCGGTGAGAGAGAAGTCACCTTCCAGCCTGCGGGCAAGTCCCGACAGCAGCAGAATAGACCCCCTGCTCCCACTGCTCCCACCAACAACACTAGCTTCAAGGCTAAGGAGCGCCGAAGCGCCTCGGGTAACACTTTCCGGAAGATGTGATTTGGCGACATTATGAGAAACTCCCTATGAGCTCTGTCAGTTTATATTTACCATATATATACTTCGCAGAGCTCTCCTATAGCCGGCAGAAGACAGACACAAGTTTCCAAAGGTCGTGTCTTGTTCCTCACATCCATTATCTCCTTATCACCTACCTACATGGCCGGTTCCCAGAACATGCACGCCCACCACCTACTACACTCCTCTCCTCCTGGGCGATACTAGACTCATTCCGTGTCTATCTTATCTACACTCAGAGATATGACATGACGTGCAGAGACGGTGTAACAGGCCACGTGGACCCTGCTACTCTCATCTGCATGTCCATGCCCGCCTCTTCCTAGAGGCTTCCGACAAGACCATCGGGATAAGTCGGGAAATTAAAACATCCACACTACTAATTTAAGGAAACCTGGCGATGAGTTCCTTAGATCAGCATGTGATAAGCAGATACCCACCCACAACTTCAAAATAATTGTTTTCCCTTGTACTGTACATAGATCAAAATTGGAGGGAATGAGAGAGAGCCAAAAACAAAAGCATTTTGCATTATTGGAGTAGATGAGAGGCGTTAGTTAGGTGTTGAAAATTATGAGCTTGAGGTCTGTGGGCTTTCATATGTGCATTTGCTGTAAGCTCTTCGTAGCGTATCAGACTTGTTATTTGTTATATCATGATGTATTGCGTTCCAATTCATTGATAGCTATCCACAATGAGCACAAGCAAGCAAGAAACTTCAGGCCTTCCCCTGGGCCCGGATACATCTGATTACAGATCACTCAATGATGTTAACCAAAGACGAAGAAATGTCGGGTCATAAGAAGGAAGTATAAACCCAGGCGGAGCGCGAAAAGAAAGAATAGTGAGAAAAAATAAAAATAAAAAGAATGGGGGATAGATCAATATCCCCATCACCAAAAGGCAGACAAAAAACAGATGAATACAACTGAACCCAAAAACACTATTCACTCCAGAATGCAGACGGCCGTTTAAACAAATTTTGACACGAGTAATTAAAAACAATAGAACCTTGAGAACAGCCCCTTGTGTCATCCTCTATTCGCCTTTCCGGGTCGCACATGGCCGTATCGCTTGCAGATCAGTCTATAAAAGTAGATCACTGTGAGTAGGGAAAAAAAAAAAAAAAAAAAAAAAAAAAAAAAAAAAAAAAAAAAAAAAAAAAAAAAAAAAAAAAAAAAAAAAAAAAAAAAAGAAGGCATGGCCTCGTAAAAAGACAGCATCCGAAGATTGAAGTGAGGAAAGAAAAGAAAAGGGAAAAAAAAAAAAAGGAAAAAAAAAAGGGAGGTATAAAGGTTAAGAAGAAGCCCCAGAGGGGCAGCAACAGACAGAGTCTTGGAATGCAGTGATGCATTAACTAGCCCGACAACATGATAGTGGGAACAAGAGAGCGTGAGGACCCAAGTTGGCGCCTCTACTAGAGTCGCCTACCATGGTTGCCATGTCTGCCTTCTTCGAAGCTTCGCCGGGAGGCCCCGAAATCGCTCATAGCAAATAATAGCGGCTCGTCCTCTTCAACTTGTGATGGCGGAGGAATATTGCGGCCCGAACTAGGCCGTCGCCCAGCTGCCCGACGATCTTCAACAGTCGAGGTGCCACTATTACTGCCACTTGCATTGACATCACGATCATGATCGCGCTCAGCGAGATCAGAAGGAGCACCGCGCGCAAGGCTACTCGAGCCGGAGCTGAGAGAGTGCGGCCCACCGGACAGTCCTCGCCCCCGACAAAGGCTGAAGCGTGGTTGGTAGACATGATTGTTCGACGGCGACGGCGCTACTGTTGGCCCTGACAATGAAGTTCGCTTGTGGGGGCTTGTTCCATGCCCCGTTGAGCTCGACCTTCGGCTCGGATCTTCGCTAGCCAAAGGGGGACGCTGTTCTCTGCGCGTTGGCTGGGTGTTTGATTTAGCCCCTTCCAGGTCATGCTGTCTCTGTAGGGCACTTAAGCTGTTGTGAGATCTCTCCTCAGCCCCGAGACTTACGCTGCGCAGATTGAAGGGGAAAATCTCATCATCATCGGTCGCAACTGGTGGAGGGGGCGGAGCAGCAGAGCTGGGCCGACGATAAGGCGGGAAGGGCAACCCTGGTGACGTAGGAATATCAATCGCATTTACCGTCACGACGGACGGGCGATGAGGTATGGTCGGACCCTCAGGAGTGTAATCTCCGACCGAGGAGGGTTGCTCGCGACCTCTCTCGTTGCCATAGTCAGCAATGCTGTTAGAGCTTAGGCGAGACGGAATGGCCGGAGTATGTGGGGTGTGGGGTGAAATGGGCTTTCCCGGAGAAGAGGCCGTAGAAATCGAAGTACCAGCCACCATGGGAGGCACCCCTGAGAGCTGCTTGCTCGAAGAGGTCGACGAACGCTGCAAGAGCATAGAAGATGACATTGACTCCGACAGTTGTGCGTTCGAATCTCTCATTTGCTGAAACCGGGTCAACGCAGCCGAAGTAGCCGTTGTCCGGCGTGCCGTCACATCAGCAGAAGCCGAGTTTGATGTTCTCAGGA